CTTACCATCAAATGTCATCATTGATTCAGACATTCACTCTTATACATACACACATATCTACACAGAAGCATCATTCATTACTACATTTATGTAATTTCACTTTAATACAACCAAACTATTGATTTTTTGTACTTTTGGCATATTAATTAAGTAATTAATTATGTACATCTACATATATAATGTAGGTACTTTATTTGTTCATTTTATATGGCCAGAATATTATAAGGATAAAGTAAATAACTGCACTTTTTTCCCTTGGAAATATATTTGTCTCTATGCTTCAATTGTTCCCTCTATGTATGTGTGTGTACATGTTCGTAATTAAACTATAAAGAGAGAGAGAGAGATTACCTGTAATCATGTACACTATCTGACCTTGATCATATGTAGGTTAGTATGCTACACACTGTACATCTATGTGCTATCATGAACTTGAGACTCGACTACCTTCTTGCGTTGTTTGAAAATGAATTCATTTTCTCAATTTAGTGATTTATATGTAGAAATTCGAAGTGAACATCAATTCTGGGATGCATGTACATCTAGCTGGCGAAACGCGTGTCAAACTGAATTCCACTGCTAACCACTATCCATCTTTGCTTAAAAAGCTTGTTACTTAAGGCTATATTAAAGCAGTCCGTACAGGATGCACATATGCCAATAGAAGACTGATCAATTGCAGTCCTAAATAACAAAATGCGATAATACTACATGATTGTATAAACACTTTTCTTTAGATATGAATGAGATTCAGTGTCGGTTCACTATTGATCAGATTATTTTTTTGATTTTATAGAAATAAACAACCAGCTTGCATATTCAGGACTGTAGCAACTGGTCGATTCCTCCCAAAATACGCTTATTTTGAGAGGATTGTCTTGATATTGGCATTTAGTCACCAGATTCGGTAAATTCCGTGTTATGACCTTGAATCGCTTTTACCCCGTTGATACTCTGTCATGACTTGACCTTGATCTGTCTAGTCTAGATTACGACCTTGACGCGATAGGCTGAGCGGCTTAACCTTGAGTCTAGTACGCGTGAGTTCGAGATGGGGTAGAGAGATAACTATTCTAGAACCTGATTGGTTGGCAAGCACGCAAGTGAGAGAAGACAAGACAGTTGGAACACTTAACTCTGGATTCTCTGAATTCGGATTAGTACAAAAATGTACATGAATAAATAAGTGAATATCTTGACCACGATGTACGATAATTTGGAAAAATACAGTTATGCCGGAAACTGGGAATTAGGGTAGAACATACAGTGCAAAATATTATGTTTAAATTACAATATTTTCGGAACAAAAAAGAGTATGCTAGTGAATGATACATAGAACGAAAGCTCATGTTATGTAGAATAAGATAGGGACAAAAATAAATATAAGTGTTTTACAGGGTTTGAATAAAATGAATTAACGTCCCAAGAAAATGACTTTCGTAGTTGTCTGGACTTCTTAATTCCCCGTTCACAACATTCTGGTTGTATTTAGCAATGAAGTTTAGGACTCACATCTCATCTTATTTCGGATTTGTCAACTGAATGTATCTAATATATTCTACCGTTGATGCTCACGTTGAGATTAGAACCCATTACATTGGTATTGCTTCAAGAACCATCGTGTTATCCTACTAAGTCTGAGCCCAGACAGCTAGTTAACTAATCCCAAATACCATGAAACGATCGTCTTAAATTCTACTATCAACCACAATTCAGTTTTAATAAATTCGTCACTAAATGTCAATATCGAGGCAATCCACTCAATATCCACATATGTCAATATGGACTGATCATTTTCTATACTCAATATCAATGATGGGGAAATGCGAACCCTTACAAATAATTTTATACCCGTTGACTAAGTTATCAGCTTATCTGTACCCAGTAGTTTATTGGATGATACGTTGGTGTTTAAAGCGATATTATGTACTGTGTTCTAATTGCTATGCTGATTAGTGTTCGGAATAGTTGGAAAAAAGTTAGGGGTGGCCAAATCAAAACGTAACATCAGTCCTTGAAGTCACTAACTTCTAGTTTGTACCATGTTGGTAGATGCGAACTACTTGGTTGGGGTCCACGTGACTTTCGTAACCAGTGATTGGAGACTGTGAGTGACATGACTCAGAATCGATCACAATGGCGTAGGTGTGTATGCACTATCTGTCTTCCCTCAAACTAAGAGATTAAAATCGCTTCATATCTTATTTCTACGAACTAATTCTTTCTTCCTGTACTATCTTCTTTTATGCAATCTTTCTTTTATATATTACCACCACTGAATTATCTACTACGAATCTGGTGTTCATCTTGCTGTGCTAATGCGGTATGGCAACTTGGACCGATGTATATATGTGCCTGGTCTTACATTGCAGCTGACTGACTGTGTCCTAATTTGAGTGTAACCATTCATATTAGAATGTGGTAGTTATGTCCATCTGACGAGTCCCAAACAGAGTGAAACGCACCTCTTAGATGACTAAAATTGATCGCTGTTTCCTCCCCATGTACAGTAAAACCGTATATGTCATCTGATTAAATAGTTCGTAAACTGATTTTTAGCAGAAAATAAGACATCACAGAATCATTCTTTTTCCTAATATTTTATATACAATATAGAAGGGATTAACTAACCATAAATTTAGCACACTGTTTGTTTTTGTATGCGTCTTGGAGATGATTGCGACCGTTTGCAATCGAGCAGGTGCATTCACTCTTTGTATTCTCCCAAATTCTAATCTCCTGGATTCTCCTTGTCCCCTTTTTTTCTCTTTCCAAATTCATTTCACTGGATTATACTCCTTGAATAACATCTTCAAACCCTAATGTTTCCAATTACTGCTTATACTCTTATTACCTCTACTACTACGGGATTTGAATCGACAATTGTATCTCTGTGTTAATGTGGTATGACAAGTTGAACTGATGTTAGTACGAACGTACGTACGAAGTTCTTCGTGGTTACTGACTGATTGTTTGTTATTGATTTAATAGAATTTCAAAAATGATTGTTGAATTCTAACTTATTAAAATTCAGGGATACTGTGCAAACCTTAAATATTAAGAATTCCTATTGTGTAAATTAGAATAACACATATTGTCATGAACGAGAACTTAGGTAGGAAAAATCAATTTTTTTGTTTAACTCACAATCACACAGTGGTTTAGTAAAATGTAAAATTTTTACATCATGTGTACACCTTTCAGTTATCCTTTATATCCTTTATGATTCTTTCAATTCTGTTCTTATTCCGATTCCTTTCTGTTTTCCTTATTTCAACCTTCTTTTGACAAGCATTGCACTGCTGATTGATCCCTAGAAGTACGATTTCTTGTGAATCTTCATCGACTGAGATGGTTGGGCCACGTGTTACGTATGCCTGAACACTGATTACCGCGACGTGCAATGCTAACCGGTGTAGGGGATGGTTGGAAGAAAGTTAGGGGCGGCCAAACCAGAACGTGGCATCAGTGCTTGAAGTCACTAACTTCTAGTCTGAGCCATGTTGGTAGATGCAGACTACTTGGTTGGGGTCCGCGTGACTTTCGTAACCAATGGTTGGAGACTCTTGGTGACATGGCTCAGAATCGGTCACAATGGCTTCGGTGTATACACTCCCTGTCTTCCCTTAAACTAAGAGATTAAAATCGCTTAATATCTGTCTTTCTTTCTACGTACTAATTTTTTCTTCCCATACTATATCCTTATTGCAATCTTTCTCCTATATATTACCACCTTTGACCAAACCACTCCTATGAATCCGGTGTTCATCTTGCTGTGCTAATGCGGTATGGCAACCTGGACCGATGCACATATGTGCCTGGTCCTACGTTGTAGCTGACTGACTGCACTGCTGATTGCTTCTACATACTACTTACATCTGTCTATAGAAGTAGCATACACAACAATATAAGTAATCAATATTGTTTTCAACTAGATCTTCACTCTTCTTTACTTTAATATACAGTAATATTTATATCCATTTGTGAAGATCATTAAACAAATCAAGACAGCTTACAAGTCAATTTTAGTTTAAATAATCTAAATCTTATCCTTTATCAGATTGAGAGTGCTCACTTGTTCAGTAATAATTCCTAATTGGGACGAATCAAAACGCTACTTAGTGATCACTAATTTTTTTAATTAATATTATTCATATGGATTGTTCTTTCTCTCAATATATTAAAGGTTTTCTTGTGGAAATAGTCATTATTGTGCTATCATTAAAGTATTGTCACATTCTTATTCTTTCTGTATCTAATAATTGCATTTGAATTCGTTCCCCCAAATGCCGAAAGTGGGGATAGTCAGATCTCCATGGTCACGTGCATACAACCACTGCCACACAAGTTCTAACTGTATTTTCGCCGCATTACTGTTTACACAATTGAGAGGACGAAAATCGAATGTCCGACGCTTTAACTGGGTTGGGGGAGTTGAAAAACCCTCATTCCAAATCAATGGTTCACATGGGCTCCAGAATCTTGAGGGAACAAATGGCGTATGAATCTATCATCGGTGACCGGCTACCATGGGACTGCATCTCCTTACGTTGCTGTACTGCCTTGTGAATTAGACTTTTAGGTCGAAGGCCCCAGGTGTGGCCCGTTAAGAAAACCACCTGCTTCGTTCTGGGCACATGGGCAGTATCACAGTCCTCACACAAATCGAATGATTTATGTGGCTCATATATATTTGATGCCTCCTTTTACCAATGTTTATGTGTTTAAGTAAATAAAATAAACACTGAGTGTACGTTATATGCTCAATGCAATGTACAGTTCGATTAAGAATCGCTTTCAATATTTAAACTTCGAAGGATGTATGCATTTATCAACCATTAGTTAGTTATAAATCTCCCAGATTTCCCATTGTATGTTTGATCACAAGTTCAAGTATATTTCTATTCTTAAATACTGGATTTTACTACAGTTGTTTTTACGAATCACTCGATTAATTAAAATTATGTTTTTTTTCTTGTGCAATTAATTAAACATTTTAGCATTGGATCTGTCTTCAACTGATCAAATTAACACTTCAAACGATTCAAATATTAGTCAAGCACTTTCATTACCAGCATCAAATTGTACCAAATGTTGCACGCCGGATACAGAACGTGTTACCTCATTAACTAGAATATCATGTTCAGTTGATGTAGGACCAAGAAGTAGCAGCTTAAGCAGTGGTCGTGGCAGTAGTGAAGGTATTGGAAGTCGAAGTGGAAGTGGTAGTGGTGGTGCTGTTAGTCGAAGTAGTAGTAGTGGTCATGGAGGTGTCGGTGGTTCCAGTGGTATCCAAATGTCTGGAATGGTTCTTAGTCCTTCTGGTAGTTCCAATGTAGCTATTCCTCCGTCAAGTAGTTACAGTAGTTCAGGTAGTAGTTATTCTTCAAGTACAGGAAGTGGGCCAGCACCACCAGCCGTCATCAATGGAGTTGAACTTATACCTGCACCGCTTCTTCCGCACAAATTATCATTTGGTTCTTCAGGTCAAACGTTAAATTATTCTGCAATATCTAATCCATCTATGGATAACGCAGCTAACACAACTATTCTTAATTCGATATCTGATTCCCAAGCAATTCATCAATCTTCACTTACCTTACCTCCATTAGCCCCAGCACTTCATAATCATACATGCGTCGTTGGAAACACTACTTGCACACCTGGTTCTTACCAACATCATCATCATTCTAATATGGTATCTCATCGAGGAGCTACTGAACCCGGGGTAAGTTGTTCATTCACTGGAAATTTGTATAGTTTGTGAAGTGGGTTTTTCTCATTTTTTTAAAGGAAAAACCATGTTGGCTTATTTGTTTTTTCGTAGTGTAAAACCCCACTTCTGTTTTAATGCTTAATATCAGTTGGCCTATGGTAAGTTCTATTTGTGAATGATTGAAGTTTCTTCCAATATGATAGAATTTGTAAGAACTCGAATAGATCAGAATAGAACAATATGTTCATAATTCACACGCTAATAGAGATGATAGTACTTTCAGAGTAACTTTAAGTTCCATACAAATGTCGGGAATTGAAATGGAGCAACTTTGTTTATAACGTAACATCCAATGATATTGGCGTTATATGACAAGGCTAACAAACTAAAAGCGATAGTAACCGATCCAATGACAGCAGAGGTTATTACGAATATATAAATCAGGAAAATGTCATCGAGTTTATACATATAATAGCAGAAATCTAGGTAACATGTTGTCTCTTCAGAAAAATTCCAGTTGATGTTGATATTACTTTTTAACTGTTTTTAACTATAAGCAGTATATGGTAGTCATCCACTACGTCATGATGATGTAATATATTGGTTATTATACAGATAATCGGCATATTGATTTATCGATATCATATTATAACCTCTTATCTCGACTGGAGATCGTGGAGAACCGAAGTGTGGCTGAAGGCCAGTTGAACTGATCTCTAAGGTGTTCTGCCCATCGATCTGATCTTCTGGATTGAAAATGTATGATATGTCCATCTTTTTCTGAGATAGTTTCGCTAACAGTCGGGTTCCTAATACCGGTTTCCTTAACAAGTCTGAACAGTTGTCTACTGTTAGCTATTGCCGCTGCCTTTTCCATCTCTCTTGCTTTCCCTACCCACCACTTCACGATCATTGCATAGGCTTCTTGTCAGCTTGCGCTTAAGCTGACTTCGCTCTTCATTATGTCCAGAGCCAGGTGGAATGAGTTTCTATCAGTGCGATAGATGCTGCTGAGATCCAGTGTTGCTCTCTAACCTTCTGATTTACCTTACTAGCAGATATCACTGCTGTTTCCACAGCTTTTCGGATATCATTCCATGCTACCTCGGGGTGCGCATCACATACATGGCTGCCTAACTGTTTTTCTAGTTGTTCCTGAAATATACTCTTAGCTTGACTATCATTAAGTAGGGCCCTAAGAGGTTTACTTTCAGCGTTTTTCCTACGTCCAGTAAGACGCAGGCAGATACGCGCTCGTACTACAGCATGATCTGAATCTAAGCATGTGCTGCAGAATGAACGACAGTCTTCTATCGAGCCCCTCCATCGGTGGCTGATACCTTTGGGACGAATTAGGAGGTCATCATATTAAAAGATGTTTTTGCTTATGCTTAAAGTTAGTATTTGCAAGGAACAGGCGGTTATCTGAGCATAGCTGCAACGGACGGTCGCCATTATCTGTTCTTTGAACCACGACGCTACAAGATCCACTCAGGTGTCTTTCCCTTTCGCTTAGTTTACCTACTTGAGTATTAAAGTCACCGGCCACTATTACTACATCAGAGCGTCTAGCTTTTCGGAGAAGGTCGAAAAGCTTTCTGTAAAACTCATCTTTTACATCATCTGAGATGCAGTTAGTGGGAGAATAGACAGAGACGACGAAGAGGAAACGACGAGTGTCCCCATCTTTCCGAGTCCTTATTGTTCCGTTTAGTCGGACAGCGCACAAACGACTGTCTACCGGGATCCACTCTAAGAGAGCTAGTTCTGCCCTAGGACTCAATGCTATACTTACACCGGCGAGTCCAAGAGAAGCAGCATCAGGGCTTCCAAATACACGAAGTGTGAATCGAGTCGGTTGTTTGTTTTGACATGGTAAGGTCAAATGAATGATGCCACTCGGATCCTGTATGCGCGTTTCGGAGACGCAGCACACATTGATGGCGCGAGATTCTAAAGTCCTAGCTAAGGAAGCCTGTTGTCCTATTTGGCACAGTGTTCGGACGTTAAAAGCTCCTACGTGTAGTTTAGAGCGTGGTTTCAGGAGACCGGAAATAACGTTCGCGTACTCGAATCGCTTGCCCTAGCGGTATGAGGTGATAAAGAGACATGAGGAGGGTTAGTTATGGAGATAAGAGAGTTATTAGGAGGTGTAGGAAGGATTTGAATGTGACCAACTTGGTCTCGTGTGGGTTGCCTACACCGTGGAAGGGTATTTCTTGAGGAACTTGAAAAGGAAGTTGAATTAATGTTGACCTTAAAGACCTGGGAGCGTGACCACAGAGCCCAATGGACAACTTGAGGCCGGTCGCGCACGGCCTTTTCGTGGGAGGTTTTTAATGTATTAGCTCCGTTCTTTAAAGGGCCTTACTGCCGGAGACGGAAATCCTTGAGGTAAGGTAAAGTTTAACATTTTCAGGGTCAACTTTTTTTAACGCCTTCCTTCCTTGTGAGCAGGCAGCATCGCTGCAGATGCTGGTTGTCCGAGGGAAACACCTTACTGTTGTCACACCCCTCTACAGTCAACAGTACGACTTCGCCCTCAGACCTTGAGTTGCTGCTTTTAGTCTTACCATTCTCCAGTCGACCTACCTGGCATGGTAGTACCTACAGGAACATCTGTTACAGCCAATATAGCTCGGCCGGGTCATCACGATAGGCAAGCCTGACCACCGTGTCAAGGTAGCAACTGCGGTCGTGATGTGATCGGGGATATCAACTACGGTCGGGATGTGTTTAAATAAATAAAATTCATGATATTGAATAATGTACTATCTTTAATCTGTGGATAAATAAGTTATCTAAATAAATTAACTTATAACATTGAGGTAGACAGTTGTTTAACCAGGGTAAATTACCACACTTAATTTTTTGTACATATAGGAACAAACGAAAGTTATAAATAATATAATATAGGATAAACAAAGCGGGATTCGAAAGGGAGAGAAATGAAGAAAGGAAAGAAAGGACGAAATTAAGAGCATTGAGAACAATTGTAGCTATCGCACCGCTATGGGAATGGAGTTCGAATTCGATATGATGTAGAAATGAGTCTTGATAGCAAATGAATTTAAACTTCGCCCCATTGCACAAGGAAGTGGCTATCAGGAATCAGTAGTTATATGGATAACACGATGGCGTTTGAAGCACGCGGTACTGGATTCGAGTGCCAGAGTGAATATCAAATCTGAGATGCAAGTAAATCCAGTTGAGGATTCCTAAATAGGACGACACTCGTGTCCTGGTTTCGACTGCTAGCCACTATCCATCTCTACTTATAAAGTTATCACTAGTTTTTATCCTGGGTTTTATGTTTCTTAAAATTTCATCAGATGTCATAATAGACCCATAGGTGCTAATTCAATGCAACTAACTGCCTATTGTTTCATGGCATCTTGTCATTAACTAACTATTTCTACAGTTTTCTCCTTCATTTGCAAAGTTGGCGAATAATGCATGGTGTAGAACCTTCTGTGAAAACATTTTGAGAGCACGAGTTATACGGTGATTGCATTAGCATCTCTATGTCTAAATATATATATTGCTAGATTCCTGCATTACTTATATCGTGTTACCATTGACGATAGAACACATAGTAACCAGTTTTTACAAATATAGAGTAGAACTGCTATCATGGTGGCTTCATGCATCCAACCATTTACAACCAAACTAATATCTAAATGTTGCTGAAAATGCTCCATATTGATATAAACGTTTTAGTTTTTATTACTCGTAAACCGATATTATTTCCCATGGTTATCATCATCATCGTGGGATCAACTATTCATATACTCGGATTCTAGACTTTTCAACAGTCGTTTCCAACTAATGAAGTGTAATTGAATTAATTTATGTGTTATGCTACAGTAAGGTAATATCATACGAATGCTCAACGTTGAAAATTATCTCTCCAGTTTACTGTTCTGTGTTGTCGTAATTTCTTCATAGCTGTTTTCAGAATATCATTTATGACGAAATTGAAAGTAAATGAGCCGATTAAGCAGCTTTGACTAAAACGGCTTATATAACCACTTTATCTACCCGAAGAAAAAGCAGCAAACCTGTATATGTAGTTGGTTAATATAGGGGTACTTCTGGAGATTGTAGAATTTTCATAGTTTATGTCACGAACTGATCTCATTTAGGCCACCATTAGCATGGGACTCAGTAGTGCGCATCCACGACCCCTCATTCGGAAACCGAACCCGAAACCCTCAGTTTTGCACGCGAATACTTAACATCTAGACAAGGTTGGAACTCACTGGTCACGGCTTTTTAATATAAAAAGACAAATTATCGAAAAACAATGATCGGTATATAGGATTCGATCCATAGGTTCATGAAGAAAATGCCACGAAAAAGTGAGAGTTCGTTTTGTAAGACTAAAATACAGTTTGTTAATACATGTTGTTAACCTTTACCTCTCGGATATTTAAGACGTAAACAGTAGCTGTAGCATTGCTCAAAACTGATGTCATATCAAAAACGTCCTTTCAGTATGTATCCACTGTGACTACTATCATAAACACTTCAATAACTTATAAGCACTGTTTTTTTATTCTAACTTGTAACATTCATCATGAAACTTAACTCCAATTACCACCATTGAAATTTTTCAGTATATCGTCATCAAATGATTGAATAGCATAACTTTTTGTTCTAGCAGGCGTTGTTTGAGATATTTTGTCACTACAGAACTAAAATCGTATTGTTAGAAGTTAATAAAAATGGATTTTTTTATATTTTAAAAATTATCTAATTCGATCTAATCAGAACGAGTTGATTTTTGTTTCTTCTTTTGATTTCATTTAGATCCATTCAGATCATGAAATAAGATCAGTAACTATGGGCTCCTCTACTAATTTAAACACTGTCACGAGTGTCAATAGTCGTTCTATGCCGCCTCATCCATCTCCTTATGTGATGCAACCATCTTCATCATCATTGTCCTCTAAACAATCCAATCTAGATTTTATCAACCAAACAAATCAAAAAACTCCCTGGCGTCCACAAATTCATTCACATTTAAATAATCCACCACCCCCTTTATCACCTGGTCTACCAAGACGATTTGCTGATGGCATTCTATCACCTCCTGACATTTCTAACAATGCAACTATTCAATATTGTTCTTCAGGCCAGTCATCCCCGTCTCCAGCAGGATCTGCAACTCCGGTACCTACACCACGACGTGAATCACTTGCTGGTACACCTTCTTGTCAACGAACAATTTTACCTTTAAATAATAATACTAATAATACTATGATTGTCAATAATAGTGGTGTACATCCACCACCAATTGCTACACGTCCCGAGAAAACAAAATCCATAGTAAGTTAATTACTACAATGTTTTATTTCAATAAAAAACAATCTTACTGGTTTTTGTTATATTCCTCAATTATGTTTGGATTTATCAAAGAGAACAATGTTGACATCTTGCATAAGGTAGCAGTATTAGGCTTAAATGGTAAATCAATTGATGAGTTTGTGAATCTTTATTGACTGAATTAGTTGATTCATGTATTGTCCATGCCCAATGATCACTGACCTTGACGACGCGTGGTGGTTATTGATGTAAGAATATGTTGAAAGATAACTACTATATCCTTATTGCAATCTTTCTTTTATATATTACCACCTCTGAATTAACTACTTTTATGAGTCCGGTGTCCATCTTGTTGTGTTAATGAGGTATGGCAACTTGGACCGATGCACAAATGTGCCTGGTCCTACGTTGTAGCTGACTAACTGACTGAAGCAAAAACGTGACACACCCTTTCAGTTCATGATATTATTCACCGTTGATCTTAGTCATGTTAGTAGATGTAGGTTATCTGATTAGAATCTATGTGATTATTGTAACCAATTTTCTGAAATGTTAAGTGGTATGATTTAGAATCTGTCTAAATGTCTAAGTTTATCAATTAAAGATTGTACTATGATTAGTGAATAAACTATGACTGTTATGAATTACACAAAAATCTTTAAGAATAACCTCATAACATTATATTATTACTTATTATATGCTCATTAAACCTCATTTACCTAATGGGCGTTTTTCTATATAACTCTGATCCATGCTGTTTGTATTTGTCTTAATGATATCATAGGACTAGGTAAATTAAAGCGGATGAATTGAAGTTTTAAACTGTGATCATTGGAGGGTTAAATGTCAAATAGCTTAAGCCAATAAATTCACCATTTTACTCACTTATGATTAACTTACTTTAAGATAAATTTCCTTAAAGTTTCAGTGACATGAATACGTATGTCCTCTAAGGTTAATCAAGAGTTCTGAGACAATAAATCACAAATAATAATATTGGATTAAGTTTGTGCCGCTTCATAGATTTTTGATATACTGTTGTATGGAATTGTAGGCGTGATAAACTATGAAACTGTCCTGAACTGGGATGGAATAATTATCCGATGCTGTTTTCTGGCATTCATTGATTCATTGGTCTTCGATGTTAATTTCAGCTAGTCTGTCTGATACAGGGAGAAAGAATTAGTTCGTAGAAAGAAAGGTATAAAGTAATTTTAATCTCATAGTTTGAGGGGAGACAGAAAGTGTATACACCGACGCCATTATGATTGATTCTTAGTCATGTCACCCAAAGTCTCCAACAATTAGTTACGATAGTCACGTGGACTCCAACCAAGTAGTCTGCATCTACCAACATGGCTCAGACCAGAAGTTAGTGACTTTATGGACTGATGTCACATTTTAGTTTCGCCGCTACTAACTTTCGCGTCTTGGTAATCGGTGTTCAGGCATACGAAACACGTGACCCAACCACCTCAGTCAATGTGGATTCACAACCTCATCAACTGATTTACCATCACTGATGTGATTGTGAAATACTATTGCTTGATTTTTCGTTATGGAAATTAGAATAAACAGGAAAGTGCTTGTTTTTCAATTATTAAAAGCTTTTTAATGACACATTTCCCAGTATAGTCTATACTGTAAAAATATGAATTGTGATTATTTTAGAAATCATTGAACTATCAATTTTAACTCAAATGTATCCAGTTGTTTCCACTCTCTCTCTGTGTGTCTCTCATGAAATAACTACTTTGTGCATTACTAAATTATCAAAAGGGATTTTGTGGTGATGGTTAAGCGCTCGCGCGCGAGACTGATAGGTCCTAGGTTTGAATCTCGTGGGGGGCGGGATCATGGATGCACACTGCTGAGGAGTCCCATACTAGGACGAAACGACCATCCAGTGCTTCTAGGTTTTCTATTTCGGTCTAGCTTCAATGAACTCGTGATTTCAATTATTAACATTTGTTGAGGGTAATGTCCTCAATATCTGACTCCAATAAATAATATCCCGTAAACTGAGTATTTAAGGTAGGTTTAATCTCCTAGTTGAATTACGGATTTACTCGAGATTATTCAGAAGCCTGAACATTATTTGTAGAGATAACTTATTGTTAATGAATAATAAAAATCCGCAAGGGTACAGCAACCAAGCACACGTTGAAGCCAAGTAAAAATGACACGCAGGGAAGATGGCTGGGATGCCAACTCCCTTTTAATCAAGCGTTACTCAATATTTAGTCAGACAAAATAAAGCTACAGACATGTGATTAATGGGATAAGAAGGGCACACACATATACGCTCATATAAAAACAGTCTAGATTGATAAGCGAATAAATAACAAGGTCAAAGTATGACTCAAGTAGAATTAATTAAATAGGATGTCCGAAAGTTAGAATAAGGTATATGGGCTTGCCATAATAACTGACATTACACATTACTAAATTATCACTATCCATAGCAAAACACTGTCTTAAAAACAATAGTATTCTAACAAATTCTATTTAATATTTCATCAATTCGATTCGTAACCACTTCTTCATTGTTTCTTATTGTTGAGGTAATTAGTAATTTTTGCTTATCAATCAATTTGTCCTCGTCCAGAACTTTATTGATTTCTCTCTTTCTCTTTACTTTTATTTTCTTCAACTAAATTATTCTTTAATTGTTAATCAAAAAAAATTCTAAGGACATTAGTCAACATTTGAAAAGTACTTTAGGAATGTATTTCTAAGTAAATTATTTCTATTTTATATCAAATGATTTTATAGAATACAAAAAGTAATTAATTAATCTATATTGTAATTGAGAATTATGTTTAATGTTAATGAATCTAATTGATTGGCCCCTGAATGAACTGGTACGGCCGAAAGTAGGGAAAGTCAACTCTCCCTCTAGAAATGCTATCACATGGCTATGTGCATACAGCCACTGTCAGGGAAGTTCTACTAACTGCATTCTCGCGGTGGTGTTGTTCATCAAATTGACAGGACGAAAATCGAATGTCCGATGCTTTAACCGGATTGATGGACACGGTGTATCTACCTAGGGGAGTTAGAAAACCCTGATTCTAAATCAATGGTGCATATGGGTTCCAGTATCCTGAAGGAACAAATGGGGTATAATCCAATCATTGGTGACCGGCTACCTTGAGATCGCATCTCCTGAAGTTGCTTCACTGGCTTGTGGATCAAACCCTTAGGTTGAAGGCTCAGAAAACTACGTGCTTCGGTCTGGGCACCCGGGCACTATCCCAACCCTCACGTAAATCGAATGATTTATGTAGCGCATATCTATTTGATGCCTCCTTGTACCAATGTTTATTTGTTTAAATAAATAAATTGATTGCTTTGTATATGTACACTACTAAGGAGTCATATACTGAGACAAATCAACTGGCCAGTTATTTATTTATTTATTTTAACACATAGATATTAGTACAAGGAGGCACCAAATACATGTGCGCCACACAGTTCATTTGATATGTGTTAGGGCTGAGATACTGCCCGGGTGCTCAAACCGAAGCAGGTGGTTTTTCTAGGGGGCCACTCCCCGAGCCTTTGACCTAAAGGTCTAACCCACAAGGCAGTGGAGCATCGTAAGGAGATGCATTCCCATGGTAGCCGGTGACCAACGATTGGTTCAAACGTCATTTTTCTCCTCAGGATACTGGAGCCAGCCCATGTGCACCATTGTTTTAGAATGAGGGTTTTCTAAATCCCCTTTGTGGATCCTCCGTGTCCACCAACCTGGTTAACGCGTCAGACATTCGGTTTTCGTCCTCTCAATTTCGTAAACAACACCCCGCCACGAGAAGGCAATGAGTAGGATTTCCCTGGCAGAGACTATATACGCGTGGCCATGTGAGAGCATTTCGAGAGAGAGAGAGAGAGTTGACTCTCCCCACTCTCGACCGTACCAAAGAATTTGAGGGCCAGTATTCTCTCTTTTCCGATGAACAATTTACCTAAGGCCAATATTTGATCTAAAATTACAATAAGAATTCTCGTGGAATATTCTAGCATTTTTAACAAAAGGTGAATATTTCATCGACCTGATGGGAACGGGTAAATATTGATCTTATTACTATCAGTACAGTATGCTTTATGTCTCCTTTTTTTCAACAAAAAAAAGAGAAAAGGAAAAGCTATTCACTCTTTTTTGAAAAGTTTACTGTTCAGTACAACATATAAATGGAAGATGAAATACATCTTGGTAATTATTACTTATTTTCTTCTATTTCTGCCCCCCCCTCTCTCTCTCCTATTATAAAAACGTTGAATACATTCAATGATTGTAAACATAGAAGTGATTTCACTGTTTGTTACCCCTAACATATTATTATTTTTATTATTCAATTAGTCATTCACATTCGTTGACATAAAATATTAAGTTGTTGTCTGCGTTAGTGATAGAACCTCGTCATAATTAAGGCGTCTACCAGTTACTGTGTATATATCTGTGTGTGTGTGTGTACATTTGTCATCTATGTCTGAGTTTTCACATTTTTGTCGTTGTCTACATCTATCTCTCTGGATTTTTTCTTTTAGATACAGGAAAATAATCGTTTAGTAACGAATATGACTCAACACTTTCACATAAATCTATCCATTCCCAATAGTTTTGTTTTTCATTCTTACTGTGATATTGTCTCCTATTTGATTTTCATTTGGCAGTTTAATTATTAAAAAAAAACATTGTTGCTGGGATAACGCGCGTGTGTGTATGTATGTGTGAAGAGGAGAGGTACATTGAATTCACGAGTTTTAGTGGAATTTTATAACAGTATTTTAAATTACTTGTTATGATCTTTTAAAACCACTTAACATTTATGTTGTGTATATTGCTTACCTTTTGATTATATGATAATTTTTGTCTATGATCTCGACAAAATTAAAATTTACTGATATTTGTGATTGAATGTCAATTCCCTAGGCTATTCGCTTAGAATGTATCTATATCATTATAGAAGGAGATCAGTTACAATCACCAATATGAA